ATATTCCCTGAGCTATATTTTAAAACTAGTAATAATCATTGATCATGAAACCGCGTTCGTCTTATTCTACGAGCATGACAAGTGCACGAAAATAAGACTTAAGGAAACGAGAACGAGTCTAAAGGAGTCCAGTTTCCTGCGGCCGAGATGCCCCTAATAAAATAAATAAGGGCGGCTAATCGGCAGTCGCCAAATTTCTGCCTTTGTACCACAGGAATATCAGATTAGGATGCGTTCTAGCTTACCGTGAACGCGATAAGGTTTGGAAACATATTTCCGTTTAGCCCCATACAATTTCACACAATTAGTTAATATGAATAGAAACATGCATGTGATCTCGGTGAACGATCGCTAAAAAAAATCCTGTGATCTGAACGACAGAGGCGATCGTAGTCTGTGAACTCATACGGAGTTCTTAAGAGTAAATGCAGTCAAATTTTAATTGGCTACATTTAGCATGTTATGCCTACCTCATTAAACGATGATCTTGATACTTGTAATTCGCAACAATTCCCCGAATAATTCGCTTGATTTCACACGTCGAATGAGTCTACAAGGAAATCACATTTAAGACAAGTTTTACACATCGCCTCTCCTTCACAAAATAAACTGGACGTCCACAAAACTAACCTTATAAGGCTAGCCTGCGTGGCAGGTGATGGGGTTTTTCCCTTCTTTTGTTTTATAACTTTGACCGAAATACGTCAGCAAAAGGTTACGTGTGCTTCCAGAAATATACTGACTTGCAAAAAGCAGCCACCTGGAAAAATTAGAAAGCTACAGGGGAATTATACTATGAGTGTCACATATAGAACCCAATAAACAGTAAACAACACTTCGTACTAAAAGGCAAAAACGAACCTTACATGTGTTATGTTAGGCCTATGTCACGGTGTTTTGGCGAACCACGTATATCTTTACATATGTTTTAGAGCACTTTTTCTCGCGAAAATGTAAGATCTGTCCCGTCTATGAGCGTATTTTAAAAAGTGTGAGCGGTGAGGGAAAAAGGAAAACTAATCGCTCTATGGACGCAAATAGCATTTTCAGGTCGGTATAGGTTTTTCTGACTGGTTTGTGAGACTTGACAGACTTTTTTAATTCGCAGTTTTGAAAATAAATTAGCCTGTGAAAACGCCATGACAGGGGTAGATCAACTTTCTCTATTGAAGACTCCACACAGAAGCCTATAACCCCGTTTCGAAGCCTACAATGAACACCGGGACGGATATCGTGAGTATGGACGTCATTTGGAGTAAAGTGTTGCAGGTCTACTTGCGCTGCCATTGGCGGGGAGGGACTGTAACCTTGTTGCGTGGCGTCGGCAGGTTCCACAGGTTCCGCTGTCCCCAGTCCTTTAGTGTAACCCCAGGAACAGATCGCCCCATGTAAGGGAATTTGGATTCCGGAATCCGAGAAAATTTGCTCGTGGAATCCGGAGTCCGAGAAGTTTTGCGCGTGGAATCCGGAATCCGGAAAAATTTTGCCTGTGGAATCCAGAATCATGGACTTTGGAATCTGGAATCTCACTAACGATTGGCGTCCGAAATCCAAGTCCCACCAGCAGAGACTGGAATTCAGTGCCGGGAATCCGAATCCATCGCGTGAAATCTGTAATCCGAGACAATCTTGGATTCCCTAACATTTAAGTGGAGTACGCGCATCATGACAAGAAAAATATTTTTGGGCACTTGAATTGCTGGCTTCAATTTCACCTTGAAAACTAACGCTCTCTCCTGGTCACAGAGTATTTGTTTTTCTTATTTCCACCCTCTTTCTCCAACTCCATCATGAGGTCAGTTCCCAGTTCCATGCTACTTGTTCCAGTGTTGATTGTATTTGTTCACCGTAAATGATCTAATAAACGCCTGCGGGGTGTTTATTTAATTTTGAGGTTTCAAGAAGGGGGCAAATCTCAACATCGACGTCAGAATCCTCACTTAGGATCATTTTTGTCCTCGTTAGTCTTTCCTTACTTTGACCGTAACATTGAACAAGATACAATGTGTTAACCCTTATTAATTAGCAAGAAATTGAGTAAATTTAAATCTTTTTGCGCTTTTTTTTCCAATTCCTAGTATTTTGGAGTAAACAAGAAACTTATGCTCGTAATGACGAATATTTATGCCGAAAATTGCGCTAGCCCAATCTATCAAAGCTTACCCTCTAGAAACACTAGCTGTTAAATAAAGGTAAATCGAATGTACCATAATATATGTTTATTGAATTATAGAACAGGATAAAGGGCTCACAAATGGGGCCAAAGTTATCACAAACATTAAAAAAAAAACTAGGTGTCGACAACAAAAACCAGAAAACTGATAATAAAAACAAACTCCGAAAATAATTCTTGGCTATGAAATACCAATCACCCTACGCATATAAAAAAGACGAGTAAATTTTAAACTCCAACATATTCAACTGATTAAACCTGGTAACTGAATAGAAAATTTGACTCCAGTATAAGAATGGAGACCTTTCTAGGCAGTAACTTTGAACAATCTGCCAATAGCCAATAAAACTCAGTACAACTGTCAATAATAAAAGCGTAAAAACTTCATTAAATTGCCAAAAGACACGTCTAAAATGGTATAGCATTGACTACTGATTTCGGATGTTTTAGAAACATCCTCCGCTATGAAATAGCCATCCTTCGCACAGACGAGTAAATGTAAAACTAAAACATAATAAACTGATTAAACCTAGTAGCTGTATAGGGAATTTGACTCCAGTATTAGAATGGAAACCTTTCTAGACTAAGACTTTTAACAATCTGCCAACAGAAAAAATACTGCAACTATGTAAATAATAAAAGCGTAAAAAATTATATTAAATTGCCAAAAGAGACGCGTCTCAAGTACCTTTGTCACGTATGGTATAACATTATGAAAATAAACATTGACCACCAAACTGATCCCTGATGTTCGTCAGGTAAATATTCAACACGTTGCAAGTGCGCATCAACAAGCTTTGCACACGACTAGTGGTAAAATAAGCTACGAAAACTACACGGACTAATTATTGAACTACGAAAAGATATAACTTATTATTGTTCCCAGTTAGCTTGTATCAGCTAAACAAATCGATACTTAATGAAAGTTGTTTAGTTATGTTATTTAATAGAGAGCTTTAGATTTTGGGGAAGAGGATGACTACGAGAAAGACATTTCAATTAAAGTTTTCTCGCCTATTCTCTAAAAATAGACACCCCGGAAAGCTTCATCGTACTTTTTCACCACAAAGGTTAAAAAGCTTATTTCCGTTGAAGGAGGTGATAAATGGCATTATATTTGCGCCACAACTCGTAGTAAAATGGCATTCACATTATCCCGTCAAAATGACGTCGGTTCGAGCGGGCGCGTCACTAGTTAGGATTGGGAAAGTCTCGTCCTCGTCTTAGAATCTTAAGCTTTCTGATGGTAAAAACCACGTACGCGAATAATCCTTGGCTATGAAATAACCATCCTGAGCATATCAAACAGACGAGTAAATGTAAAGCTTCTACATTTTAACCAATAGAAATAAAACTGCAACTATGTAAATAAAAATAAAACTGCAAAAAACATAATTGCCAATATACAAATTGACTACTGATTCCTGGTGTTCCTCAGGGCACTACGGAACAAGTTGCAAGTGCGCATGCACAAGAAACTGAGTTCAACTTCAAATAAATAGGAACTGCTTCGCTGCCTTCGTCTTCGTAACCTTGATGAAGTACCTATACAACACAAACAGCAAATAGCAACGTTAGAAAGCTAACATTACAAGTACAGAATACAGTCAACTTCTTCTAAGACGGACACTTTTGGGACCCAAACTAAGTGTCTGTCTTAGAGAGAGTCAAATAAGGGCAGTAAAGAAGGGCAGGGCCGGGACTAACTCTTGGTGTCCGTTTAACAGAGGTGTCCGTCTTATAGAGGTGTCTGTTAATAGAGAGTCGAATGTATTGATATAACATCAATTATCAGCACTGAAACACGCGTGCTGGTAATTGGTGTATCTGAGGAGAATGAGCTCTGTTGCAGTTCACGTGCACTGATATAACCATGAGATGACCACCCATCAAACATTTTTCCCCTCAGGACACCATACCTGGACCCTTTCCTAAGCAACCAGCAAATCTTAGTATTTTGGGTGGTCGCTCAAGGTGGGTTCTACTGTACTGTTATAGTAGACTGAACGAACTCGAAAGGGGCAACCCACACTTTCAAATGTAAAGGAATAATCTCCTGTTTCACTATCTAAAGAACTGTATTACCAAAGAAGGGGGCGGGGGGGTAGGTATGGATGATTTGGTTTGGGTAAAAAAATAAACCTCTTGCGCCCAAAATCTGTCCCAGGGTGAAGGATTTGGCTCTTTTTTACAGGAAATTCATAAATTGTCTACTAAAACATTTGAAATATGGAAAAAAGGCCAATTTAAGCATTTAAAGCTGCTCCGATATGCCAGAATTAAAAGATAGCCAGAGAAATTGCTCAGAATGCAAAAAGTTAATCGAAACGGAAAAAGGTGCTCGAAATACGAGAAGTTGCCAAAAAGTTGCCGAGCAACTGGTGGAGCCCTTATCCATACCACCCCCTCCCCACCCCCTCAAATGTCAAATGGTCGACCCCCTAAGTTGGTTGAGTATGTATGATCGTTCGAGTGAACGTAGTCCCGGATAGGACTGTTGTTGTTGTACAGTGACTGAAGTTTAGAAAATCCCTGAGGTAGTCATCTTCAGAGTCAAAGTGAGTTGTATTACGTCAGTCGATAATATAAAATCTGGTTATTGACCTGATCGGTCAATTAAGAAAGTAATTCACGATTTTATTGGTCGTCTGTCAGTTAAGCCGTGATGTTATTGGCTATGAAGATTGGAAATGTCCAAATTTTCTACTGTCCACTCAGCTTGCATTAGAGTTTGTTGCTCATAAAATTGAATGGCAAAAACAATTGCTTGTTAAAATGACTTTTGCTATGATCGAAGTTTTAAATACACCCAGAAATACCTTGCTATTTATTTGATGCTCTCAAACTCAAGCGTTACGTCGTCACCAATGAGAACAAATGGCGCCCAGTACTTCACAGCACTAAAGTGGTCAGATTTTCTCATGGATTTCATAGCTTCATTCAGAGCCTCACTGGCACTTCCTCCATCGACTAATTGTCGGTAGAAAAATTTCATGAACTCCATAGTCGCCTCGTCGTCAATCGTCCACAGGGACACCAGAACAGAACGAGCACCGGCACCCAAAAAAGCACGTGCGATGCCGACCACACCCTCAGATTTGACTTCTCCCCTGGCGCTATGACAGCAACTAAGCACCACAAGCCTTGCCCTAATCTGAGCGTTTAAAACATCTTTCATAGTTAAGAGATAGTCGTCCCTGGCTGGATTCACGGATGAACGTGTTGTGTTTGGGGCCAAGGCAATTTCCCCTGTTTCCATTTTACCGTGAGCAGCAATGTGCACCAAAGCAACCGAGGAAATACGTCTCAAGACTTCATCTTTTGTTGCCTGCTTTCCAATGAGCGGCTCAGTTTGAAGTATTTCCCCAATCATCTGCACTTCTTTTTCGGCCCACTCCAACTGCTCTAGCGTCGTTACCTCCTGTACCCACGGATCGCCGACGAGAAGGGCGCCAGTCTTGCTGTGCCAATCTGCTGAACAATTTTGGATCAACTGCAGGGTAGAAAGTGAGGGAAGCAGACGAATTCTAAACGTTTCACAGAGGTATTTAGATTCCAAGTCCACGAAAGCAGCATAAGGCACCAAACACAGTGGTCCTTGTGGAACGACCACAACTTCATTGCCCTGGAGTAAGTCTCTTATAGGGTCTATAACAACACTGTATAATGTTTGCAATGACTTTGCCTCAAAATACGAGGAATGAGACCTTGGCTTACTGAATCTTTCTTCTGCTAACTTTTTATCGCTTGGGTTTCCTAATGAGCGATCTTCACAACTAACATCAGCTCTCACACCTATTTCTTTCCGGGTGGTCTCCAATAGAGACTGAAAATAGGTTGTGTCTGAGATATCGATCTCAGTTCTTCTAGCTTTGATTTCTTTTCCTTTCTCGTTCATCCAGAGAACTATTCCTCTCTCACTGATACCCATGAAAGCTGTATTAGGTGGCAAGTAACTAAGAAAGTCATTTGGTCTTGCGGAAAGTGTTCCTATTTCTGGGCGTAGCCCTTTAAGGCCATACTTGGACTCCAGAAGATCACCTAAAGCTTGTGCACGTCCTTGATCAGCAGTTAAAAGTGCCTCCACGACTTTACCTTCCTTAAACTGCAGCTCCCACAGCCTCGAATTAACATGATCATACGTATCTTTAAGGCTAATCTTCCATTCGTCATTAGATATGAGATTTCCTCTGATGTGGTCGAAGGCTAAAACACTCTTCTTATAATAATGAACAGCTTCATTGAAATCTCCAAGACCGTGATAGGCGTTGCCAAGATTACCGTACGCTCCTCCCTCTCCTGCCCTGTCTCCTACTTCCTTCAAAATTTTGAGGTGTCGTTTATAGTACTCTATGGCCTTCTGGAAATCACCAAGACTGTAATAGGCGTTGCCAAGATTACCGTACGCTCCTCCTTCTCCTGCCTTGCCTCCCACTTCTTTCGAAATATTGAGGTGTCGTTCAAAGTACTCTATGGCTTTCTGGAAATCTCCAAGACTGTAATAGGCGTTTCCAAGACCACCGTACGTTCCTCCTTCTCCTGCCCTGTCTCCCACTTCTTTCAAAATTTCGAGTGCTCGTTTATGGTACTCTATAGCTTTCTGAAAATCTTTAAGACTGTCATAGGCGTTGCCAAGACCACAGTACGCTCCTCCTTCTCCTGCCCTGTCTCCCACTTCTTTCGAAATTTCGAGTCCTCGTTCATGGTGCTCTATAGCTTTCTGGAAATCTGCAAGATGGTCGAAGGCGTTACCAAGATCACTGTACGCTCTTCCTTCTCCTGCCCTGTCTCCCACTTCTTTCGAAATTTCGAGTCCTCGTTTAGAGTACTCTATAGCTTTTTGGAAATCTCCAAGGCTGCAATAGATCTTGCCAAGACTACCGTACGCTCTTCCTTCTCCTGCCCTGTCTCCCACATCTTTCAAAATGTTGAGTACTCGTTCATAGTGGCCTATAGCTTTCTGTAATTCTCCAAGACTGCTATAGGCGTTGCCAAGATTACCGTACGCTTTTCCTTCTCCCGCCCTGTCTCCCACTTCTTTCGAAATTTTGAGGTGTCGTTCATGGTACTCTATGGCTTTCTGGAAATCTCCAAGACTGTAATAGGCGTTGCCAAGATTACCGTACGCTTTTCCTTCTCCTGCCCTGTCTCTCACTTGTTTCGAAATTTTGAGGTGTTGTTCATGGCACTCTATGGCTTTCCGTAAATCTCCAAGACTGTGATAGTCGTTGCCAAGATTACAGTACGCTATTCCTTCTCCTTCCCTGTCTATTACTTCTTTGGAAATTTGGAGGTCTCTTTCATGGTACTCTATGGCTTTCTGGAAATCTCCAAGACCCTGATAGGCGTTGCCAAGATAACCGTACGCTATTCCTTCTCCTGCCCTGTCTCCCACTTCTCTGGATATTTTTAGGTGTTGCTCATGGTATTCTATGGCTTTGTGGAAATTTCCAAGACTGTCATAGGCGTTGCCAAGTTCACCGTACGCTCTTCCTTCTTTTGCTTTGTCCCCCACTTCAGTGGATTTTTTGAGGTGTAGTTCATGGTACTCTATGGATTTCTGGAAATCTCCAACTCTGTGGTAGGCGTTGCCAAGAATACAGTATACGTCTAGGTCTATTACCCTGTCTCCTTGTTCTCTGGCAGTTTTGAGGTATATTTCAAGCATGTTTATAACGCGCTGGGGATCTTCAATGTTGGCATAGAAGTCGGCCTCTTCTTGTCTTTTCTCCGCCATTTTAATGACAATGTGCAGATATGATAGTTGTGGCTGCTTGAAAATTTTATTTTAGCTCTCGGTCACACTTTTTGCTAGCTTGGGTATTTCAGCTCCCCCTGAAAAAAGTACAAATATTTTGTGGTTTCATTTTATGGATTATGCATATTTTCGCAGAAAAGTATGGTGGCAAATAATAAAGTGAAATAAAATATAAACCGAGAATAACTAAATCTTTAGGATATTTTTTTATTAATTGCTTTAATTGTCTTAGCTGGTGTCATGAACTACGGCCGGATACAGAAAATTGAAGCTTGCTTTGACTGAATGTTCTGATGTCTTAACCAAACTTGCAAAGCCTACAAGGCAAGGGGAAAATCCCCCCTTTCCGGAAATAATTTGATGCAAATTGTGAAGCTATGATAAAGTGTTTTCATATTTCCTGTCGCTACACCTTTTTGCAAGTTATTTAAGCTTTTTTTTACATACGCCTGTTGCGACAGGGACTCTCTAATCATCCTGGTCTTTTGGAATTTTTCGATCGTTGGTCAAGCCAATCTTTGCCCAAAGAGATATCATTTGGATCTCGTTTTGATTGAGCAGGAGCGTAGCGTCCATATACGCACCTTGGCCTGTGCGTACATGTACCGCTGAAATATGTAAAAAAAATGTATTTTCTTATTTCCTTAAAAAGCATTTTTATCATTAAATCGGGATGAATAATGCATTTTTTGCACTACACTGCTATGTTTTTGTAAGTATATCCTTGATCCCTCCATAATTCTGATGGCATCACTGTCATCACTGGCCTTTTTTTCCCGTAAACACTGTACCTTACCGACAACACTAGAGATGGGCAAAATAGACAACAAACTACTGCATTTTCCTGCGTATTAATTAACTGAAAAATGTGTTGCGGAAAATGCTGGGAATGGCGTTTCCGATGTCACAGTGATATGTGTATCTCCTCCAATATGGCTGCCAGTGAAATGTGCATCCCCTACCACCCACCCCTCCAAACAAGTGCCGCTTTTATTTCTTTTTTTTTTTTCCAAGATTATGAGCAACATAATCGACAAAAGAGCAACGATTCGAGACAAAATAATCGCAAAGCGGTTTCTGGCGACTGAGTTCCCCTTCTTCGTGGGCTGCAATGTTGATGTAAACATTCGTTCTCGTTCCTCTCCTTATCCAACGTGATTATATATGTTACTGGTCGTGTTAAATAGGTATGACTGACGCAATTTCATTCAGCAAGAGATAACTCGAAAAGTAAAAAAATAGAGGGGATACACATATCTCTGCTTTGGTTCGGTGATACGTGTTTCCCCCCGCGAACGCCACAACGATATTCCACCTTCGCATGTGGTCTTGTTACGAGTTGTGTTAGATGATCGTGACTGAAGAAATATCCTTCAGCGAGAGAGGGTTCAGAGATATGTGTATCCCCCGCATTACCGCCTACCATTTGTGTCAAATTAACATCCATGGAGGTAAGTGAGAACTGAGTCGATCTCCGACATTTTCTCTTAGACTCAGCCTTGACAAAGAGCCGAGTACAGTGTTTAAGAATCTAACTGAAAACAAAACAATCATTTGTTCCCTCTTGAGCCGCCATTTTTATTATTATTTTTGTGCGGCGGATGAGGCTGGATACTTAGCATCAGAGTTTATTGTATCCCTACCCGGGGATACACATATCACTGTGACACCGAGACCCTAAATATAAAAATTTCCTGGGAGACCATGCACCCAGAGCCCTCTAGGTTGGGCCGCATTGAGGCGCTACAACTTTTCTTCCCGCGTGCCTACACCTTCACGCTACACCCCTGGCTACCTACAGTTTAGCCCCAAAAAACTTTAAAAGTCCGGAAAGATGGTTCACGGCAAGATCATTTTTCAGAAGACTACGCATTTCGAGGAACTCCTCGCCTTTTACTGTTCCAAAAAACAAACGAAATGTCAGTTTCATTTACCTCTCTCTCGGATTGAGACTCGGGTTACGCACATTAAGACCTTTTAAAGGCACCTTTCCCTGGATCCGCTGTGAGTTTGTACAAGGATTAACCCAACTGGACCAAAACCTAGTGCCACAGTATGAGGGTAGTCAGATGGTGATGTACCACTAGAGGCACACCTGAAGTTAGTTGGTCATCCGGTGCTGCCAAGGCGACGACTGGGACAAAGCTACAGCTAATGTAAACGCCTTTTATCTTAAACTAAGTTGATGTTTTGTTTTGCTTGTACATTGTGTTGTTGTTTTGTTGTAGTTGTTATCAGGGGCGTAGATGTACGCACGGAAAGAAAGGTTAGACCTTTGAAGGTACTGCAAACTAGGGATTCTGGGGACATCCTCCCCCGAGAACATTTTTCAAATTTCGTTGCTCAGAAATGCCATTTCCTGCGTCTTCCGCAGGACATTTTAGATTTTTGACAACATAGCTATTCTTACTAACTTGAGTACGCTGATTTCGAAAATCATTATTTCCAACCTCAATTCGTGTGTTAAGGTGGAGTTTTAGAGCATTTCACCATGACGTCCTTATCCAAATAAGGAGTTTTCTTTCCTTGAGCAATTCTTAGTTTAATCGAGACAGAAATTCTTTTAAAGCGTTATTAGTGTGCTGTGAAGCTTATTCTAAGAATTTGTGACTGTTTTTAAACTGCTTATATCAATATCCAGCAATCATGTGACAATTGGCCGCGTCCTCTTATAGAAAAATCACCTTATCACGTGTATAGTTTTGACATTTTGATGTAACACTCAGAATACATGTACAGCTTATTGTTTCTCTCGTGCAATGTTGAATCTTATAATTAGTAATTTCACAATTAACTTTGTCTTTCTTGGCTCTTGGTGGTGACTTACAGCTGTCACCAGGTCGAATTCACGTAAGATTACCAAATTAAACATGACAGAACATTGCTCCTGAAGAACTAATTAGCAAAAACTAGTGAGGGATAAAATTGAAAAATTATTAAATAATTTATGTGACAAACGAATCATAATCTCACGATCAGTTAAGCGATTTTTTGTGTTTTGCGGGAACTAATTAGGACAGATTGGTTTTTCTTGCTGGGAATTAATTTTTGCGCTTTCCAGAAATTCCCGGACAAATCCTAGTCTGAAACCACCAGAAGAGCCACGAACACACATTAAATGAAACATGTAGGGAAGGGAATCTGGATTTTTGTTAGTTTTATCCCTAGCTTTGCGATCGCTTGAATTACCTCTTACGATACGACTCTCATTTGTGAGTTTGGGGTTCCTGCGTTTTCAGGTAAAATGCTTTTATTTAATAGGCGAATAGTAAAATAAGTCCTCAAAATCAAGCCAACCGAAATGATTCTCTTGGAAGGCAATGACTACAATGGGGCAGATATATCAAACTACTTAGAAGTGAATAATGTATGAAGTGGATTAAGTCGTTAAAAGAGTCCTAAAAGTGAAATGTGTTTGAATTTTAAGGTCAGAAAAGAGTGGTTCTGTCTTTACGCAAGAGTCTCTCATATATTGCGTTCGACAAATCAGCGAATAGAAGTGAAACGTATTAATGCTTATACAGAGAGAGGAAAGTTAAAGAAGAAACAATTCAGTTGCGCAGGAAATCTCTTTAAAGAGATGAACAACATGTGAGGGGTGTGTTCGAGCAACTCGCTCGCTACACGATGAGGTACCAGGCCTCGGATTTTAATACATCTTGCCTTTATTCTTCTTAATCTTCTAACTCTTCCACTTTTTCACTAACTTACTTTTACGAACTTCTACCACTCTTCTCCTTCTAAGTTCAAGTATAGTAGCGGTTTTTATAGCCAAAGCTGGACATGTTTGGGTTAACTGACCGGTAGAGTTTCTGTTGTACATCTTATCGGTAACATTGCAACGGGTTTGCTATTGTTAGGGAATAGATTATCCTACGCACAGCCGCAACTGACAAGTACCAAAGAACCAAGGTCAGCTTAAACATCACAAACACGACGACCTGTAAAAAACTAACATCTGACAATGCCCAGCGAATAACATTCCTAATATGACAATAAACAAATTCGCGAGCTAAGCATAAATTCAAGTACAAGTAGACACAAAAGATCAAAACAGGAAAACAGTACGTGGACAAAAACAAGACTTAATGAAAAAAAAACTAAACCTAAAGGCTAAGATAGATCCGCCTAACCCTTAAAAATGACTTTCACGAATTCAAAATACTTTAGAACAAACATTTATGGAAAACTCATGCCGTGAAGATGAAGCCAATTAAGAGCGGATCTCTGTAAATTTCGACCAAAGGTGGGAAAAATGATATTTTTGAAAAATCCCAAACAAATTCTGTAGACTACCCTAGGTATTCTAGTAATGAAAATATAAATTCTAGTTTCATTGGATAAATATTTTGGGGGATACGGCGAATGTCAAGTTAGGGTGATTTACGGCCTTCGCTTGAAAGCTTTTTCGGGCCTCTAGACCGGGCTCCGAAAAGACCACGATTTCAATCGAATTCAAATATCATCAAATCCAATAAGCTACTTGTCGTATTAAAAGGGTCTTAATACATATATTGAGTGGTCATGTTCTTAAATTGATTGCAACTGGAATATTTTATGCATTTTTAAATATTTGCAACATTTTAGGGATTTTACGCGAGCAAAATATTGTCAAATTTCAAAGGCCTAAAATCACATCCGATACATGATTTCAAACAGAAAAAGACATTCCACATTAAAAAGCAATCTCTAAGCTTTCAAAATATGCTTTCAAAACTCTAGGCAACATATGAAATGAATTTTTGTCAACGAAAAATTCAAGGAGCACTTGAGTGTAATTTGACCTTTCTGACTTGACAGTAAAGAGGTTCGGCGCAACACAAATCAACCCTCCAACAAATGTTTCAGCCAAAATACGTTTAATTAAGGCAATCTTAAGTCCCACAATGATACATAGATCCTTCACATACATTAGGCGGAAGTGAAGTTTCATGCCATTTTGTCAGCCGTAAAGAACTCTTGCTCTGGCCTTCAACGTA